AACATTGGCTCGATGAACTCGAGCTCGAGCTCGAGCTCGGGAACATAGACTCGAGCTCGAGCTCGAGCTGGCCAAAAGAGCCGAGCTCGGCTCGTTCCCACCCCTAGTTGTAATTTACCCAACAAATAATGTCAAGTATATGTATATATACGAGGATAGCCATGGAGAAACCCCACAAGGTCAAAAGAGCAATTCTCGGTCCAAAGTGAAGTTCAGCACATCTATCAATCAGCATAAATAGAAAAAGCAAACGTTAATCTCAACCGTTGATTCACTGACAAACCCAGCTCCCAACAAGTGCTATACAGTCATTCAGAGACGAGACGACAATAAATATTTCAGACAAACTCTCTCTCTCTACTATTTGGTACTATACTTTAAAGCACTATTGTACCATTTACATTATATTTATTTTTTTGAACTATCAACAATTTATATTCTTGCTGGGTTTTCTTCAAGGTTAGAGGGCTTTGGATTTGGAACAAGAAAAATAAAAATGAAAATAATCGGTTTATTGCTTCTTGCTATTCTTGCAGCGGTGTCTGCTGATGAAGGTCTGCATTTATTCCTTATTCGATTGCTTCTGTTATTTATTTTATTTATTTACCAATGTGCCCTTTTTTTTTTGTTAAATGAAAAGGGTTGTTTCATTACTTCATATATAGATCCTTTAGTGAAGTCTAGTTTGAAAATGGTAATTTATTTAAACATTCCCGCTAATTTCTGCCACAATTTCCTTAAGCATGAACCTGATAGCTGCTGCTAGTTTGGAAGAGAAATTGAATTAATTTAGTATTTCTTTTTCCTTTTTCTGGGAATATCGAAGGTTTGTTGCCTATCGAGATTTTGAAGTTGTTAAGTTCTATTGGCATGTTTTGTAAATGAACCCACATTTTGTAGTGGGGAGTTATGAAAGTAAGGCATCGAATCGAATGCTCGTTTGATTGCCCGATTAAAACTCGTTTGCTCCAATCATTGACTTTCCGATTTCGACTAGACTAGTTTTGGATTTTGTCGCCCCAATCTTGGTTTTGGGGTTGTATCTCTTTGTAATGCATTTGATTTTTTATACTATGTACATTGTGTTTGATGCTTTAGGATAGTAATTGTGTTGTGCATTTGAACCCTCGTACGAATATGTAAGCTCTAGCATTTCGATTGAGAAAGTTTTAGCAAACATATATTTCTTATACGACTGTAGTTGCGTTTCACGAAAATAACTTTACTAGTAAAAGATCTTTTTCTAGTTTACTTACCTGATTTTTGTGCCTTATTAGTAGTATCCGAACTCACACACCATTTGTTGCAGCTGCTTTCATCGGGGTC